TATTTTTCGAGCAATAGAACATGGGTATACTAAATCGCATTTGTGTTTTATTTAATAATTACTTCGCACATGAGTGGTTCTAAAGGGAACTTTGATGTGATGCCATTTAATTGACTTGAACAGTTCTAAGAAAAGTTTGGAAATACCGACTTGTGAACTGCTCGACTTTTAACTTAACATTAAACAATTACATGGATATTAAATTCATGACATCCTTTTCTTAAAATTATGACATTAAGTAGAAAAGCGAGCAGAAGGCACTAAACTATGGAGATAAATTATTATGTTTTTTATGTTTTTCAGACTACCTCAACAGTAACCTGGGGCGCTCACAGGATACGCAATTCCTCGCTACATAGCCGAAGAGGAAGATGCCATTTGCGAAGAGGTGAGCTATCCACTGCTTGCAAAGGATCTTCACCGGCAAATACCTGGATCCGGCCTTTCCTAAAGTAGAGGCGCACGAGGCGTTTCACCGAGTTTACGACATATTCGACGCGGCGATGACGCAACATCGAATCATGCCACATGCCACATATGGTGGAACTTGACATTGGCAAGCACGTGCAAGCAACTGCGTTGCGTTAGCGTCCTAACGAGGATAATAATCGTTGCTTGCACGCGTTTGCCTATGTTGCGTTCCGTCATATGTGCCTTCTGGTTTGAATGTCGCACGCCCAATAAGCTTTTACATTTTCTTTTTTTCCACAGGAAGAAGCACTAAGGAAAAATGCTGAGCTAACAAAAGCAGTTCAAGACGCAAACGAAAAAATTTATGTAATTGGTATGGAATTTCTAAAATTAAAGTCAACTCGATCTCGACAATGCTCTGAACGCTCAGGTTCAATTCATTCTTCGGAACCAGTACAATAACCCACTGAACACACACCATTTCTGCGCTTCTATATATATTTTTGTTTACACTTATTTTCCATCATAAAATTGAATCTTTTTTCGAATGGCTTACTGCTCATCAGAAAAATCATCCTTGCCCACCTACCATAACATCCAGTCATTCGCACAGCAAAAAAAAAGAGAATTTTCATATTTCGTTTAGCCCGTTTACAAACAATCTGATAGCATCCAAACTTCAAATAACAGCGCCGGTAAAATATAGTTCTCCTATACAATCTCTAACTATAAAACGCATTTAGTAAGAGTACGTAAAGTGACGAATCTCCTAGGCTTCCTTTTTCTACCATCCTATTTAATGATTACTTCACCTAAAGCCCTTGTATTCTAATAAACTCGGTAAGAAAGCAAACTTTAATTTCGAAATTTCGAAACACATGCATTAAACCGGTTTTAAAACAAAATCTAAAAATAAATTTTTAACATTCGCTAAACATCTTAAAATAAATACGCATTTGTTCTATAAGGTCATGAAGCCCTTTCAAGATTGTAAAGCAGACAATTGCACAACAATTTGCATTTTTTCCATGTGAGAATAAGCGTATATGTTTGCTTACACTTTTCAATAATTGAACATGTATTTGTGTATTATTATTATTATTATTATTATTATTATTAATTTCGCCAGAGAAATAAATTCTAAGACTAAACTCTTAAAAGCACTAGCATCTAAGGCTATCGGCTTTTTTATTAAAAACTCTACCGCACTTGAGATTCGAACCCACGACCATTGACTTGCTAGTCGAGATTCCTCCCCATGTATTTGTATAATCTATGGTGGTTTTAAAGAATAAGCGTATAAAGTATGGTGCCTTTAGAGAATAAGCGTATATATGTTCCCAATAATTTGTAAAAATGCCAACCATGTGAGAATAAGAGTATATGTGATAAGCGTTCTGTGATGGCACGGCTGGCCTTCTTCAGAGAAGCAAGTTCCTGTAGCAGTGGCAGTAGCCATAGAACAAATTTACTTGGCTATATACTCTTCATACTTTTAATAGGACGAAACCGGAGGGATATACAAATGTTTCCTCATTGTAAGGTAAACATAATATTATACAGATATATTTATATATTACTTATTCATTTATTCTATTTTAGAATGCAAGAGGTCGTGTTCAATGCAATGGAGTAACGGTAATTATAACATTATATAGTTATATTTATAAATTGCTTATTTACTTGCTTCCGTTTTAGACAAGATAAAGACACAGTACAATTGTCCGCTTATCGCCTCTTACGCACTAAGATGCTGGGCTGGTGACACATAACGCTGGACAACACGCACAGGTGAAGGATCAATGTCGTAAAAATTAACAGACGAAGGAGGCTTTTGTGGGAATTTGCGATACGTGGTCTATAATTCCTTTCCTTTAGATTGCCGACATATGTCTACTAATTAGCTTTATAATTAACGTTACTTTCGGCTTGTTCGCTTCCTACTTCCTCCCCAGCCGCGTTATATGCCATTACTTTCATAAAGTAATACAATTAAACCCCAATTACGTGTAGTCAGTGATAAGTAATTCAACACATTTTCTTCCTGCGTAGTTTCCAATATTTTATCTAAATGAAATCCGTATCATTAGTTCAATTTATAATTTTGGATATAAATATTACTTACGCAATCACCTATAAGTTTTCTTCTTATATTTCCGCATGTTAGTTCATCCGGCTACCATGTAACACTGAAAGCGTGAGATCTCGGTTTTTAAGGAGTTACTAGAAACATGTTTTCGGCTGGGTATAAAAGTACTACTTCACTTTCTGGGCCTTCACTGACGTTGTTTAAAGCCTCGACTTAATATTTCATGTCTTCCTAAGTGTTAGCAGGCAATATCTTAAATCCATTCCTTGCTGGGTATTAATAGAAATAAAAATTTTTCTTCTGAAGTCGTCGAAAATTCTTGTTTGAAAACGACATTGTTTAAAACTAATTTTTATACGATCACTCTCGTAAGCAGCCAAATTTTTATACAAATACTTGAACAATTATTCAACAAATGTAAACAAATCGGACGCTTATTCTCACATTTTTCGAATTATTGAGAATATATACGCTTATTCTCGTATGTGGCCAAATTTTTTTACAAATACTTGAACAATTATTCAACAAATGTACACTAGTGAGTGCTTTAGCAAAATTATCCGAACACTTTAACACAAACAAATTGCAAGTGATCCGTTGAACCATTGCAAATATGCAAAATGTATTATTCGATGGCTTGTCGTTATGCTGCTGGTATAATTGTTATTGTTGTTGCTACTGTTATATATCTGATTAAACTAACTATTATGTAGTTGTAGACTTTATGCTAGGCTATAACAATAGTTCCATTGGCGATTATGATACAAAAGCAATAAAAGAAAATTGTTCATATTATAGTCAAATGTTTCTGTTGTTATTATCCATCTGAGTCGTATATTGGGTATTAAAGGTGCCGATATTTAAGATAAATATATTTATTGAATGGTTTTATATTCGATGTAAAGCATAAGAACGAATGCATCGAAAAAAGCTTTCTAATGTATATATATCCCATTAAAGAACAATAATGTTCGGATTAAAGATAATAACGTCTGGACCGTAGACGTTGGCGAAGCTTAGACACGATTTTAAAACCATTTCTCTTCAATAGCAATATAAAAAAAAAATCGATGTAACAAGCCTTTGTTTTTAATGAACTTTACTCAGAAGAAATTCAAAGATATGGTTTTGGTGGCACACAATGGACTTTACGTGTTTGCATTTGAAGTTATCTGTGGTCCTTTTCGTGGGTAATCGTTTACAAACATCGAAAACAAGCAGTTTCCGTCATGTGTATTAAAGTTTGCCACGATATACTTCACTTTTCATTATTACAATTTAAATTAGTATTACGCTTTTGACGTTAGGAGCAACATTGGATATTTATATTCGTATAGATAAAAAGAACTGCAAGTTCGTTTTAAGCCCTTTACGATGACTGTTATTAACAACGGTATTTACAGCTATCAAAGGAGTAAAGCAGTTATCAATTTGGCCTATAAATACTTTATCCTTGATTTTGTGTCCACTTTAGGCATTTTAGAAGTGTCCGGAGGACTATATATACTGACAGCCGAAAGGAAAAAATAGTTTAAGAATATTATCTGTATTACGTGTTCGGAACGCTTGCCACGCTTGCATTTTTTCAAAATTATTGAAATGCTATAGCATTTCCTTTTTTCAACGAATCATGTACATTTTTTACTGACGCTCTGACATGACGGTCCCGCGCGAAGAAGTCGAGAAAGAAGAAACATCTCGTAGCTAGCAACCGAACAAAGTCTATAAAAACTGTACAATTTTAATTGGAAAAGCCATCTCTTCAAGGCGAAAGCAAACGAAACATAACATAAACGAACAATTCGCTGTCTTTGACATCGCTTTCAATATGAGAAGGTAAATAACAGCAGGTATTCAAAACGACTAACAAAGTTCCTTCGAACAGTTGGACATAATCTCATGGTAAGAGGTCCTTACATAACCGTCTTTAGCTACGAAAGATGGGTTTCGAGATGGAGCATTCCTTGGCGGCTTCAGAGAATTTGTCTTAATTGGTATCAAAAATACTCTCGAATTTATAAAGGAAAGGTTAATGACTCGTATTCAGAGTAATAATTATTCAGCGGTATATTAGCCATTCCTATATTGTCTTGACGCTTAATAATTTCCGAAGCCCTTTCGAACATGCCTTTCAGACTTCAAAACACTTTGTAATATATTCCATGACTGTGGCATTAAAGGATCCTAGGTAATGGTCAGATCGCCAATTTTATCACCACCTCCACCCACATTTTTAGGAGCAATATAGGGCCTGCTATTAAGAAATTGATAAGGCAATGGTTTACTCTTGGTAGTAAATCCTACCTGTGTTCGTATGTACTATAAACAGGAGATGGAGTAAAAGGCGTGCCTATACCTATAGTAGAAAATCCAAAATAAATTAAAAGTTAATCTGAAAAGATTACGCATACTATAAGTAATACATTTTATTTATTTGAAATCAAATGCATCAATTAAATGGACTATTTATCGTCTTCAATCAAGGCTGCGTAAAAATTAAAAATACTAATATATTTCAAAATTTTAAGAAGCCGGAATTACAGATGAGGGTGTAGTAAGATTAGGCGTCTGCTGCAGAGGCCCCGTGCTGATATGGGTTGACGGAATAGGAGTCGTTGGATTTGTCTGCGGCGGTTGTTGATTTGTGACGCAAGTCCCTTGCGAAACATCTGAAACTGCTAGTGACGCTGGAGGATTGGCATCTATAGAAAGTATTGTTTCGCATTATTAATTTTTATTGTAACCATGAAATTACTCACCCATAGATGCTGTTGCTTGCCCAGATAGAGGAGTACCTACGACTGTCGTTGCAGCGGCTTGTGAAGCGGTCGCAGCACTGGGTCCACCTACGTGGGGAGACGATGGAGAAGCATTGAGACCGCCCGACACATTGCTGCTGGAACCAATCTGGGACCCAGTGCTTGGATGGCCAATAATGGAATGATTGCCAGCCGATAAAGTACTAGCAGACGTCGATCCAGCTCCTGCTGGAGCTGTTCCTTGCCACTGTTGTTCTTGTAAGCGATGATGAGCTTGCTGCCTCGCTCTAAATTCGGCTGCCTTTAATTGCTCCAAGTGGAATTGTTGACGTTCAGTAATCAATTGCTGTCGTTGATATTCTAAACCCTCCCGTTCACGTTCCATCGTAGTTTCAAGTTCTTCAAAGTGTCGTAGTTTTATTTCTAATTTTTTCATTTGGGTCTCTACCAGTAACGCAACCAAGGATTTAATCTTACGTTCTTCTAAAGCCGCCAAATGTTTTGCCTTCACCGCTGCTGAAGCCAACGCAGCGGCTGCAGCCGTTTGTACGTTTGCCTCATTAAATATTTGTTTCGATTCATTTTCTTTCAAACTCTCATCGTCAATTCCACCGTCCTCCCGCATGTCAACAGATGGTGTTCCACCAGACACGTCTTCATTATAAAAATTAGCTGATTATTATTTATTAAAATAAATAAATCAATAGTTTTACAAACCTTCTTTCTTTGTTATATCCTTCAGTTCTTCATCGGCAGAAGCAGGAAGTGTAATGGCATTAACATCGTCATCTTCTTTGTCGGCTCCAGTGCCAGCGATGCCGCTGTTAGCCAAGCCGTAAGTAGGATTAAATTTTCCAGCCGCCGAGGCTTTTTCAACATTTTTCATATGGTTATCCATTATGGTGGCTGGCACTTCATCTTTGATCGCCGCGAACTCTTCCATCGCAGCTTTAGCGGCAGCGGCCGCTACTCTTGGGTCAACAACTGATGCCAAAAATGCAACCGTCGACATTAACGGATTTCCAGACTTACTAAACGGTATCGGTTGACAACCTAAAGGACCTAGAAAGCCGCCATCATCTTCCAAATAAGTATCTTCGATGGGTAAACGCAAAAAGTGCAATATACATTCATCCTGAGTGCGAGTACCAACATGCTCACAGACTTTATTCCAGTCATCCTTGTGCAATTCTAACCCTTCTAACAGCAACAAAGTTTCCTGATCGGTCCATTCACGTGACATGCTTGCTGCGGTACGATTTTTCATCGCAGCAGGTTTTTTTACATATTGATCCAACTTTAAGCCAAACTGGTTTGAAGTATTTGTTCCATTTTCCCCAGATTCTACTTTTAGAGTGACCGGAGCTTTATCTAGCGACTCTTCTTTGCATTCTTTTATAGCTGTAATTATAGGCTTTTTATCGAGATCGAGCAAAGTTTTGGCAGCTGAGGGTTGTTGAGTTTTTTGGGGATTCAGAGATTGCAAACCGGATGGAGTATCCGACAGAATATGAAAATGTGCGGTGGGCGGCGGGCCCATTGGAGTAGGCCGTAACTCAGCGTCAATTTGATAGTTAATTAATCCCCATTGCTCGAGGAAAGCATGAACTCGCATTATAGCACATACATCACCGGCGAGGTTTCGACGACAGGCGGTACTAGTTAAATATTCAGTAGGATTGAGTCGATATGTGTCAATCATGAAATTGCGATAGGCCATATAAATCTCCGGTGTTTTAGATTTATTTTTCGAATTAAAAAATTCGGGCATAGCCCGTTTCTCAATCGTGTGTATCGAATTGTAATCAAACCAGGCGGAGTATGATGGGACAATTATATGATGCGTCTGCTCAGTAACATTGTCTTCCACATCTTCTTTAGCAGACGAAGAGAACTCTTGTGTATTACTGTTATCGCTAGTTTTTCCAGTTTGCGAATTTTCGCCATCGCAGGTAGACAATGCTTGGGCAGCGCTCCCTCCTGTCATTTCATCATCCAAATCGGTGATTGTACCTCCTTCATTGATTACAAAAATCAGTACTTTAATGTAATGGATGTAATGGGATAATGTAATGTACTACATATCTTACCTTTTATTGGCATCATGTCGTTATCAGCTCTAGATTTATTACCAAGTGCAGGACTAGCGGTAGATTGTAAGGATGACGTTTTAATAACTTCCTGCAAATTCGTTTCTGAGGGTGGATCGTCCATATCACGTGTTAGATCTTCATCATCATCGTCATTACGAGCCTTTTTGTGTATTACAGCTGGGGAACGCTTACGTTTACCAAGTTTTGATGAGCCGGGAGAAGGCGATCGCCTACGCTTTTGTTTTGTCCCTCCTGCGTTGGTGGGCTTTTTCTTATCGTCAGCACCAAATGACATTATATAATCTACGGATAAACGTTGCTTATGCATTTTCTTTTTACCCGTTTCGTCCACTTCATAATCCTCTTCCGCCATCCATTCGTTATATTGTTCCAAGTCTAAAATCCAGGATGCCGATACTCGCCAGCGCTCAATGGGTGATTCGGGGTTTTCGGGAACATTATCGGGTAAATCGAAAATATTTGGCGTCCAAGTATCGTATGATTCCGGCAAACAGTACCAATGTAACATAACATGACTTCCACGTTTGAAAATGGGGCGCGCGTACTCGTCGTGGTGGGGATCCACTATTGGATAAATAATATGCGTGGCATCTTCTTCATTTGAAACTATCTCCACACGACGGGTACCTAAGATTTCTCGCAAACGTGTGGCCAATTGCTTGTCCATATCTACTTCAGGTCTTATATAGATATACGGAATTCGGTAAAGATCTGCTTCAACCAGAGCCTGTTCAATATCATTAAGTAATTGGATGTTTGGATCTTTACTGGGATTTTTGCCGATAGTAAAATCGAACTTTTTCCCCCTTTGATCATTGCGGAAACGAAACATATTAGCAAATATAGTACATAGGCCTCCGTTGGGTTTGAAATCCAAAAAGCAACGCATCTGAAATCATACGTGCTACCGATGAATTTGTAAGTTTAATAAACGAAATAAACTTACCGGTATTCGCGTCGCTGGCGGCTTTGTGGAATTCTTACCCAATTTAGCTTCCACATACTGGAGAAATTGAATTAACAATTGTGCTAAACTTTCCTTAGTTATGGGTTCGCTGCTATTTGCCAGATACTAGAAATTTAATTATTTTTAGTGAATCATCCATTTATGCCCATAAGAGCCATTTTGCGTTTCGTTCACTTCGTTTACTCACTTTTCTACAATTTTTCTGCAACCATAAACGTATTGTTTCAAAACCTTGTAATGACTCGGAAGAATTAAAGAACTCTACATTTGGACCGCCATCCTCTTTCGGTCCTAAAGTATTCATTTTACTATATCTTATTGTGTATAAATTCTTGCAGAAATAACAGGGAATCTCAACAGAAAAACATTTCTCTCTACAACACAAGACATCAACTAGTGATGAGTGAGTCTTGATAATATTATCGGTATGGCTCGCAATTTATTTAAATCTTCCAAAACATTGTTGGGAATCACAAAGTTATAAAATGACAATATTACCATTAATATAATATGACATGAATGACAAAGTATATATTTTAGTATATTATTTTGCTAATGGAAACCTAGCAATCAGTTCAGTCAAATGAAATTTCGAATATCGAACATTGGACGTACGACCAAAAGCAAATACAACTTCATTTTGTTTCTTTGGTAAAATAGGAATCATCAACGATCGTTTAACAGTTCAATTTCATGTAACCAGAGGCAAGTAAATATATAGCTGTTTCATCATATTGTTCAAAATTGGGATTAAGGCGATCTAACGCACATTTTGTGTGTCTGTTCTTAATAACAGCAACGAAAGATATTTGTATGTTTGCCCGTTCCTATTATTATTTGTGTGATCAGTTTCTCAAACTTTCCCAAAGCACAGGTATATATTATTATTATTATTATCATCCACCTGAGTAGCCGAAGGCGAGGAATCTCGACTAGCAAGTCAATGGTTGTGGGTTCGAATCTCAAGTGCGGTAGAGTTTTTAATAAAAGCCCATAGCCTTAGATGCTAGTGCTTTTAAGAGTTTAGTCTTAGAATTTATTTCTCTGGCGAAATTAATAATAATAATAATAATATTAATATGGTCATTATTCTAATTTTAGACTAATGAAATAAATTCTTAGACTAAAAAAAAAAGGACATTGAGCACTAGCGGCACAGGCTATCGGCTCTAATATAAATAAATGTAGTATTAATAAAGTAATATATAGAATTGATATTCGGTTCTGAAGCTGATTTTAGAATGTCGAAAGGGTTAATCGTTCCAAATGCAATACTTCTAGCCAAGGAAAAGTTAAGGCAGTCGCAGAGAATGTGCTTTATAGTGGGAGTTTGTCCACAACTGCAGATTGGGAAGGAAGACTTCTTCAAGATCCAGTTGTGAGTTGCAATTGTATGGCCAAGTGGAATTCTCGAAAATGTTTGGATCTTGGTTTTCTCAATAATTGTTGGATATAAAGGTGGAGTTAATTGAGGGTTAATGGAAGAGTAGTTTTGATGATGATATTGTAAACTTCCTTCTGCAATTTTCTCTTTAACTTTTCTTCCAATGTATCTTTGAAGATCCAACTTTCCCATGACATCATCCATAATTAGAAGAGCAGAGGCAGAATACTTTGCCGCTCGATCAGCCTGCTCATTTCCCAATAAACCGATGTGACTTGGTACCCATAACATTTTAATTTTTCCGTCGGGTGTAGTCATTATATTCCACAGGTATATACAATTCAATGTTTTTAGGTGAAAATGCGCTATAGCATATATGAAAACACAATAAAGTCTACGAAAATTGAGGTTTCTCTTATTAAAACCTGCATTTATTGATTGAGTATAAAAACATGTATTCCTTAAGAAGCAAACACTTATATTAAATAACACTCCAAGAATTGTTTTCGACTTAAGATACAGCTGTAAGCAAAGAATATTCTTTAATTCCACAAAAAATATAAAAAAGTCTATATATAGCGAAAACATCTAGTACTTAGTTTTTGCATTTGTTTTCGCACATTTAAATAATAATTTATCAATAAAAAAAAAAAATTTCTTTATTTCTTTTCCTTAAAATTTCACAAAATTTATAAAAACACAAAGCAATTTCTCAAGAGGCTATAAATGTGATTATAAAGTTAAGAGGTAATGTAGATTCGTGCGAAGAAACAGCAAAAACAATTAGAATTAGCCTTGCTACTGCCCACACTATTATAAAAAATTGCAATAACACAAATACCACACAAAATAAGCACCGATCAGGTCAACCAAATCATCATCTTTACAGATTGTAAAAATTGTAATATAATCAGGGTAGTAATAAATAAACACAAAACTAATACTGTTGGTGTTGAAAAAGGGTTAGAAGAATACAAGCCAGTCAGTACTCATCCGGAAATGGGTCGAAATGTTTTAAGATCAACGACTGTATATACATTTAACACATTTTATACAATTTTCCACATCATACATGCGTTATTCTATAGAGCGTCTATTCGTATTGCATTATTATTATATTGGTCACATTCTTGAATTAAACAATTAAATAAACGAATATTAAAATATTAAAAACTAGTCCTTCATCCTAGCTTATGCAATTTGAACTGTTTTTTACTTTCTCGATGGCCAAAAACTTCGAATTTCCAAAACTTCATCTCATGTTTATGTATATATTATGCTGCTTATTTACTTAAAAATACTCTATACGCTTCTGCTTTGCAAAAGTTTCAGATAATGTCAAGAAACTATTAACTATTAACAGATCCTGTGCCTTACCAATAATAAAAACGAAGAAGTAGAAAAGATTTCGTTAATTAATAGCGCTGCCACCTTATGTCAATTTTAAAATAATTGTTGGAACATATATATGTTTAGTTGTCTTTGATATAATTCTTTACAGCTACATAAACAACACTTCAGCTTAGTCTAAAACCCAGTTAATTAAAGTCGGGGGATAAACTGTCCTTTGTTGGCAACACTGCTTGTCACTGTGAAAAGCAATGACCTGTAAATGAAATTCTAATAAATAAAGCATATCTTTTATAAAATTTGCTATATATTTTGTCAAAATACCGGAACGTGTGTAAAAACATTAAACCGAAGAAGAACGGATTTTTTTCAATTTAGTGGTAACAAAAAAATCGAATAACAATCAACTGCAAAAAAGAACACCATAGTGTACAAATTCATTTGGATAATCTGGATAATATATTGTAAGTGAGAACATCGCGTTTAAAAAATACGAAAAATAATTGAGAAATTCTCGGAAAAATGCAGCAAAACTATAATTCTTTATAAATTCAAAAATAAAATGTATTAAAAGTTTATATTCCGTACATGTCAACCGTACTAACACGTTTACAATTGAAGACCAAGAGAGTTGTCGTAGACAGAATTTTTTATCAATTCAAAGGCAAGTACCATTTCACATGGCTACAGAGTTTTCTCCATGTAATTAAAAAATTGAAATGTGATATTGAACCTATTAAAGACGTTGTTAACTTAAATTATTTTGTTTCATTTAACTGCATAATAATTGTTCTTGCATTTTCTTTAGGACACATAAAAAGAAAAATAAATAAATAGCTATGCTCTAACTTATTACATTTAATTGCTACTCAAGTGTTTATTTCATGCGCTTATGTGCGCTTTTTTATTTAACGCATATTGAGGCCACGCAAATACTGATAAGTAAACTAATTTTAATTGGTTTTCGCAAATGACTGTGTTTGCCTGACTTGGTCGATTTATGCAGCTGCATTCGCTTTATTTACGTGCCAGCTGTTAATACAACGCCTATACGAATAATTTACATATTTACTAAAAATTTATTTAAATCTCTTTTGTTGTTGTTTTATGGTTCTATGTTTGATAGTTCATCTACATAGCTTTGCAATAAGATCAAACCTAGTTGTTGTTATAGACGGTTTCTCCTTGATTCCACGCGATATCCCTCAACTCTAGCTAGTAGATGTGAAATTTGCATTTAGCGCTTTCCAGATTCAATCGTTTAATTCTCCTCGATTTAGGGACATATCGTAGCTGTTATTACTAAAAGTTTCTTTCTCTAGTTTAAATGCATTACAATAATAACAACGTATTGCTTTGCAGGATACAGCAAATAGTAAGTAATATTTGCTTCAGGAAGTGAGTGAATTACAAAATTTCATAATGACATCTAGGTGAGTAGAGAAAAGTCTAATAAAGCCTATAAAATTTAACCATCTCGGTATTATGAAACGTTTTCACAAAATTTTTTATTATTATTAATATCATCGAATGGAAAACATTGACTTTTCAGACTTGATCGTTTATTTATTCTATTGGAGTCAGGTTCATCCTCACTAACTCGCCGGGCCGCTGCAAAGCAAATTGGCGAAGTGCAAAAGTTATATCCTCATGAACTGCACGCTCTATTAAACCGTCTCATTGGCTATTTACACAGTAGTTCATGGGATACACGCATAGCAGCCGCTCAATCAGTCGAAGCTATTCTTGCTAACGTACCTCAATGGCGGCCAGAATTATACTTTAATACTGGTATTGTAAAACGAGAAATCAAAAAAGAGGAAGCGCCCCTTCATGTGGCAGATGAAGAAAATAGCTGCCAGTCAAATGATTCCAACGCTACAACAAATACCACTGCATCCACTGTAGCCAGTGAATACAATAAGGATCGCTATTTAACGATTAGCGAATTTAACTTGGAGCAAGTACTCAAAAAAGGTGCTCGCCTTATTGGCTCGGAGGGTGTAGAATTTTATATTAATGACGACACTAGTGTCACTGCTATAGATGCCACCAAAGAAACAGCCACCGAACGTTTAAGTAGGCAGCGGGCTTTATTAAATGAAAAACTAGGATTAACGCAAGCTTCTAAAATGGGCGTTAACCTTACAGACATGATTGTCGATGAAGATGTAATGCGTAACAGCAACAATTATAACATTAATGAAGAGAAAGTGCCGGTGGAACATATTCTCAACATTAAGCCAAATGTGAATCTGATACCTTCGAATGGTCAACAACTTAGCTGCCGTGAAATGAACAGAGCTAAACGTAAGGCTCGTCAAAACGCTGCTGTATCGTCAGGGAATAATGTGAATATTCATTCGGCGAATGGAAAAAATGATGAACCAGAGAAAAAGAAACTGAAAAGTGGTGAATCGCAACGGCAAGAAGTTTTTTACAGTTTAAATGGTCTGTTCAGTGTAGTTGACTGGGACGACTAAAAATATTTTTTTTTAAATAGATCCTGTTCCTGATGCAACTGGTATGTGGATAGATGCTTTTAATTGGCCATTGGAGAATTTCTGTGCTCGTTTATACGTCGACCTCTTTCATGCCAAATGGGAAATACGCCATGGTGCTGCCACCGCTTTGCGTGAGCTAATCAATCAGCATGCATCCGGTGCAGGAAAGGGAGTAAATATGACACGCGAGGAGGTGGGTAATTCTGTTTCAGATCTATTTTAATTTTTATAAAATCAGTATTACTTTAATTTGTGTTGAGCGACTAGATGCAAATTTATCACAACATGTGGCTTGAAGATGCTGCTCTTCGTTTACTTTGTGTGCTTTGTTTGGATCGCTTTGGTGATTTTGTCTCCGACCAGGTAGTCGCTCCGGTACGCGAAACCTGTGCCCAAGTATTGGGTACAATTGTTAAAGAAATGGAACCCGCGAAGGTATTTGAAATAGTGCGCATTTTACGCACTTTACTGAAGCAGAACGAATGGGAGGTTCGCCATGGTGGTTTATTAGGCCTGAAGTATGTGTTTGTGGTGCAAGAAAAACTTTTGCCAACCTATTTGCCGCAAACAATTTCGGATATATTAATGGGGCTTTTCGACGGCGTTGATGATGTGGGCGCTGTCGCAGCTTCTACTTTAATACCAGTAGCTTCTTGGTTACCGCAATTATTGAGTCCCACACAAGTATCGTCTATTGTTAAGATGCTTTGGGATTTGCTGCTAGATCAAGATGAGTTAACGTCGGCTTCTAACAGTTTTATGGGCCTTTTAGCAGCCATACTTTGTCTTCCAAATGCTTCCAGTTGGATTCAGTAAGTCAGTGCCAAGGGTTCTGATGAAAATTGCAAATGTAATTTATGCCAATTTCTAGAATGGAACCTATGTCCACGTTAGTGCCCCGATTATGGCCATTTCTCTGTCACAGCACCAGTTCAGTTCGTAAGTCCACTTTAATCACGTTGCAAACTTTGACAATCACAAACAGCGTAAAAAAGGAAAGCTGCGTTACACCCATTGCCAAAACTGATGCAATGACGGAAGCTGATTTCAACTTTGACTCAAAAAATTTGAAGTTAAATTTCGGTGTTATTGATTGGCAGTGGAAGTTAGTGCAGGATGCTCTCCGCCATATATATCAACGCATATTAGTCGAGCCGTTACCAGATATACAAGAATCGGCGAAAAATGTTTGGTTAAATATCATAGAAAGTGCTGATCTGGGGGCGTTGTTGCATGCGGCTTGCCCCTATGTATCCTCTTGGATATGCTTAGCAATGCAGCCGTCCCGATTGCCATTCGACCCAGCCATATTGATTCAAACTGTTAGCACTGACTGTAACAGCAGCGGCAACCAGGACAGTTCCCCCGCTCAGAGAAGACGTCAGCAACGCTTTGCCGATGATTTGGGTGGCGCCAACTCACCAGTAATGCTAAAACTTTACTTGGGCGGCAGTGAGTCTACTCCTCTGGAAGTGCGAGAGCAAAATTACGTCCGCACTCGTATTACAGCAGCCCGCGTTCTGGGTTCATTATCGCGTTACCTGGTGCAACCAGCCCCTGGTGTAGTTTATACGTCAGACTCCGAAAGTCCTATGGAGTGCTATGTTAAAGTTCTGTTGGGTCATCTTAATTCTCGTTCGTCTGTGCAACGTATAGTCTGCAGTTTAATAATCGCCTTTTGGGCAAAAAACGATTGCACAGTTTGTCCGGGTCCACAAAAACTGCAAGAGAAATTACTCAGTTGTGTCGCAGAGTGCGTTTATTATGACGAAGTCGCCATAAACTTTACCAGGTGAGCAACCAGTCTGTGTAAGTCTTAAATTCAGTCATCATAAGTTAATTGTTTCAGGTTGCTTCAAGAGGCTCATGATCTTATTGCAACATTTAAGCAATACAAAATACCGGTAAACGATTTTGGACAGGCCAAAGTTCTGACATTAGATCAGATAGAAGCTTTATCGACAACTTTTACTGCCGATTTGCGCAAACATCAAGTAAAACCTAAGGTACTCGAGTTGCTTGAAGATCGAAGAAAAGGGCTTCAGCATTCACTACAACAAACGTGCGCCGAACAAACGGCTTATAACGTTAGCACCCAAGCCGCTTTAGCTGGTTCCGTAGTCTGTTTAAAATGTCTTCCGGAAAAACTAAATCCAATCGTTAAACCACTGATGGAGTCTATAAAACGAGAAGACTGTCAGCTTTTGCAAGAATTGTCCGCTGAATTTTTAGTAGATCTAATGGCCCAAATTTGTGATAGAAATCCTAGTCCCAATAGTAAAATATTCAACAATCTCTGCACGCTACTTAAAAGCGATAATGAATTTACACCACTTATTGTAAGTCGATCACTTTATCTCTTAGTCTCATTATTCGTAGAAAAACTGTCGTTTTAGTTGAGTCCCTTATTGACGCTAAAGCAGACATCATATATTAGTTCGTCGGCGCAAAACGTACAGTGCATTTATTATGGAATATTATCACTAAGCTTGCAGCCGAGCACTTATACAATAACTGGTTCAGATGGTAGTTCATTAGCAATTAATACATCTAATACGCCACGTGGTCCAGGCAGACCGCCTTTGTGCGATACGCAAGCAGCTGCTGTAAGCAACGCTATCGCGACAGAAAACAGTTCTAATCCGTTAAACGAAACCGAATCAAAGTACGGCCGTATACAACGTTTGGGTTCGGCGAGTGCGATCTCAAAGTTGTGCAAACATTTCGGACCACAACTTATGCGAAAGATGCCCATTTTTGAAGAATTGATGTTCGCAAGAATCAATCAATACGTTACAGCTTTTCCGGACATGGATTTGTTACAAGATGTAAAAATAGATGTTTTTCAATGTAACAATTTAACTACTTCTCTACAATTAATTGAAACAGCAGCTCCTCACATGCATAAGGATTTTCATACAGTGTTATTCCAAATGCTGGATCATTTGGGCATCCTCATAGCTCATCCTCTAAAAGCGGTACGTAAGCATATAATTTATTTTAATAATTTCTTGCATATATCTAATTTCAATTTTAGATACGCCATATGACCGCCCGATGTATCGCTACGTTAGCCGACATTGACAGTTGTCAAACTATGGATTTTGTAGTGAATCATTTATTGCTTGTATTACGTAAGATCGAAAAAGTCATAGAGCGTCAAGGTGGAATTGAAGCGATTGCGCGAGTCGTAGAGAAACTTCAAATCAAAATCGTTCCGTATATAGTATTGCTGGTAGTACCTTTGCTGGGTTGCATGAGTGACTCTGACGAGTGCGTTCGTTTACTGTCTACTCATTGCTTTGCTACACTTATTCAGCTAATGCCTCTGGATTCCAAGACGAGCTCAAGTGGAGGAATCATTGAACATAAGATTAAGTCCGCCGAGTTGCAAGCACGCAAAACGCGAGATCGCGAATTCCTTGATTATTTATTTAGTCCTAAATCTATACCAGATTACAAGGTGCCTGTACCGATTAGCGTAGATTTGCGCCCTTATCAACAGGCGGGTGTAAATTGGCTGTGGTTCCTTAATAAATATAATTTACATGGCATACTTTGTGACGACATGGGTCTTGGCAAAACTCTTCAGACTATCTGCATAATGGCTGGTGACCATCATCAGCGTCGTGTCGATAATGTCAGCGATTTGCCAAGTCTTGTCATTTGCCCACCATCTTTGACGGGCCATTGGGTCTATGAAGTTGAAAAATTTTTGCAAAACTCTGACATTCTACGGCCAATGCAATATGTTGGATTGCCTAGTGGACGTGAGTTATTGCGATGTTTGATAGGCAAAAGCTTTAATTTTGTAGTAGCATCATATGATACAATACGTAAAGATATTGAATTTTTTAATACTATACACTGGAACTATTGTGTACTAGATGAAGGACACATCATCAAAAATGGGAAAACTAAAAGTTCGAAAGCTATAAAAATGTTAAAAGCTAATCATCGTCTAATATTGTCAGGAACGCCTATACAGAATAATGTGTTGGAATTGTGGTCTTTGTTTGATTTTCTGATGCCCGGCTTCTTAGGCACAGAAAAACAATTCATAACTCGTTATTCAAGGCCTATATTAGGCTCACGTGATGCTAAAAGTTCACCCAAAGAGCAAGAGGCCGGAGTATTAGCTATGGAGGCATTACACCGTCAAGTCTTACCATTCCTGTTGCGTCGTGTAAAGGAGGACGTGCTCACCGATTTACCGCCAAAGATTACCCAAGATTTACTATGCGATCTTAGCCCCTTACAAGAGCGGTTATATGAAGACTTTAGTCGTAGTCATCTTAATTCCGAGTTAAAAGACTGTCTAGAGAATCTGGGCGAAAAAAGTGAACTCAGTTCCAAAACGCACATCTTCCATGCTTTACGTTATTTGCAAAACGTATGTAATCATCCGAAACTGATCCTTACACCGAAGCATCCCGAATATGAACGTATTAATCAAGAGCTCGTGAAAAATGAAAGCTCACTTAGCGACATAGAACATTCGGCCAAACTACCCGCCCTGAAGTAAAAGCATATATTTCATGTTCCATGCATTTTTTTCTAACATTTATTTTGTACCTTTGCAGGCAATTACTTTTAGATTGTGGTATTGGTGTGCAAACGGAATCAGTATCCCAGCACCGAGCTTTGATATTTTGCCAATTGAAAACCATGTTGGATATCGTGGAAAAGGATTTGCTACGTAAGCATTTGCCAACAGTAACTTATTTGCGTTTGGACGGAAGCGTGGTTGCTTCTATGCGCCAAGATATTGTGCATAAGTTTAATACAGATCCAAGCATAGACGTTCTATTACTTACTACCCAAGTGAGTATCTTTGTGTATGGGGTTTTCAACAGCCATAATAACGTTTATTGGTCAATTTTTGCTTTTGGCGATTAGGTTGGTGGTCTTGGCTTAAATCTGACTGGCGCCGATACCGTGATATTTGTGGAACATGATTGGAATCCGATGAAAGATTTACAGGCCATGGATCGAGCACATCGAATAGGCCAGAAAAAGGTAGTTAATGTATATCGTTTGATTACACGTAAATCGTTAGAAGAAAAAATCATGGGATTGCAAAAATTCAAAATACTCACGGCTAATACAGTTGTTAGCTCGGAAAATGCCAATTTAGAAACTATGGCAACGGGGCAAATATTTGATTTGTTTAATTTAAATGAGAGTAGCAACAAGAACGACAGTGGTAGACCGTCGTCATCATCGGGAGCCATCTCTTCGTCCGGCCAGCTTACCATGAATGCTGTATTGGAAAACCTACCTGAGTTATGGTCCGAACAACAGTATGACGAAGAATATGACATATCGAATTTTGTGCAGTCATTAAAGAAGTAATTTTAATTATTTTAATATTAAGACGAAATGTTAATAAATAGATCGATCGCTTTTGTATTAAACTTTCATTGTGTCGTACACTTGAATATAAACACCCCACACGTTTTAAATTTGTAACGCTTTTGCTAGGCCTTTTCCAAGGATGTTGACACTTAACAAAAATAAAAGAAATAAACGAAAAACATTTTTTTTTTTTTGTGTGGAATACAAATTTATATCATTTTAACAAAATGAATATTGCGATAGACATATTATTATATAGCTCATATCGAATCAGACTATGGTTTCTTGCATACAAACAACGAAAAAAATTTTTATATATAAATTAGCAAACGCAAGCAATGACGATTAAGAATAAGAAAAGAACAGCAAGTAGTGCATTCCGGAATAGATTGTTATGGAGTTTCATTGAAACAAATGTTATAACAAAATAGCAAAATTACTAAATATGCGATCTGACAGGTACACGTGCGGTTGGCGTTTTAATTCGTCAACTCTCATTAACTGCGACGATATTGTTTTCTGTCATTTAAGATTAATTTCAAGCAAATGCAAATGAAAAAATGAGATATGTAAATGATATTTGAAATTTGTTGAGGTGTTTACGCACACTTATGAGTCCGAAGGGTATAATGGTTAATTCAATAAAGTGGAGCTATGGCGGCATATATATTATTATTATTTGTTTGATTTATATGGGTATCTAAATCACACTACGGGATGCTGATGGCGATTACATTACAGTCTCCGCTACTCACTTCACAGCGAAAGGATAAATATTTGTCACCTCAACTTTACATGCTACTCGTATTGTTTGCAGAAGCAAAACAGGGATGTGGTTATGTCAATTGAAATTATACAAATGAGAAAACTTTTGAGAGATTATTGAACTCTCTTCGTTCCGAATTTTTAATTTGAATGAACGTTTTAGAACAGTATTTGTCGTTTACAACTGATGTATTCAATCATTTATACACAACATAATAAATGAATGAATGAAATTAAAAAAAAATTAATAAACTTTCTCCCAATTTTCATTAAATGAGTTATATTTATGCTTTCTAAAACATTTGTTTTTTTTTTTTTTTTTTAAGAATTTCTACAATAGATTGTTTTTGAAAAATATATATAATATGTAGCATGTGTATATATTTAAACTATATATGTAATATTTGTTTCACATAAATATTTTCATTTTCTTTGTTTCATAAAAGCACTTAGCATTAAGTTTTCAATTTTATTTAATATTTTTTTATTCTAACTCATTTTGTTTATCGCGTCTATGGATGATCTGCGCCAAGATATTTTATTCAATACTGATTTAGTTAAGAGTTATTTTTCAAAATTTACGCGTGTTATATGTTGGTGTGTACTTGTGTGTGCATGTAGTATGGCTGTCCTAAATACATATATAATAAATAATTTAGTACCTGAATTTTAGAATTTTGTCGATTAAATTCGAAACGCTCCAAGTTGGTTTTGTAATTTAGCCAAAAAAAGGGTTTGGTTTTAGTTTTTTAATTTTTATATGTATTGCGTGATTCGTTTTTATTAAAATATCTACAATTTGCTGGGAGCATAGCTCTTGCTTCCTTGCTCTTTTGAGAAATGTTAATGTGCAGGTGTGTTCGATTGTTCTTTAGATGTTTTCTTCAAAAACGAGAGTTTACTCCTTTTAAATTGTTTTTTAAATTTTACATCAAATTTATGTATTATTATTATTATTATTATTATTATTGTTGTTGTAAATATATGCAAAATTGCTTGGCACAAAATACATGTCTGTAATAGCGGTGACTAACTGTTTGTTGTCTTTTTACGATCTTTACTTTTCTTCTTTTTTTTTTTAAAAGATACGTCATCCCTTGGCCACCCGTTTTATAAATCCAATATTGCAAAGTAAAATTAAACACATAATAATAATTTAAGTTAAAATTGTGAAATGAAACAATTGTTTTCTTATTTCAGCTTTTATTAGTTGCTTGCCTGCATTCGTGAGTATTGGTCCGGTACGAGACCTTTAAAATAATTATCACTGAAAAATGTAGAGTGCTATTGCGGTACATTAGTTAATTAATATTTACCCATAACTCCAGGATTTTAATATGATATTTATTTGAAATTTACGTCGTAGTTATTATTGAAATTAGAATGAAACAAAAATACTTTTTGCAAAACAAATTACCATGAAATTGGCTTGGTAAGAAAATGTGTAATTCAATAAGCAAATTCATAACCAATACCACGAACTTCATCCCCAATTTTTCACTTGCTTAATTCCTTGGCAAACGCACGTGATATTTCCGAAGAAAGCCAAAATTTCATGGGAAAAGTTTATTTCAGATTGATTTTGCTTGCATATTCTCCTTCCGAGTTTAGTCTAGATTTTCTTATAGTCAATGGTACGATAGAGCAGTTGCAGCCTAAGTGAGGTTGTCTGTGATGCGATTTATTTTACTTGTCCCATATGGGCCGTCTTTCCAATCCAGATTCGTACAAGCCCAGTGGATATTTTTAGCTAAATATTTGCAAATGTTCGTTTTCCTTGCTTTATGTTCTTGCAATCAGAAATGGATTTCCTGCATTTCCACATCTGGATTCTGGTATTCAATAATTCGAACAGGACAAAACCGAGGGACAGTCCTAATTATTCTTAGAAGTGTATAACGATTAAAGCATTAACGATACGCATTAAGAATCTAGTTTGACTGTATGCTGTAATAATTCATTCTGCTGTTATAAGTCATTCGATTTAACGGCATTAAAGGAATTGTTCAACATTAATTCTGACTACTATTACATTTTCTTTGATCAGTACATATATGTTAAAAACTACTGATCTTTTTTCAAAACGTTCGCTCGTGCGAACGCTCTTCGGTGCAACATTCTAAACTATTTGATGGGTTAGTTTTTCGTAGTCTTTAAGATGACGTGTCGATCAACACCATTACGTGAAAGAAGAAGACTTAAGGGAAAGCAAAACGAAATTAAATAAATCTTAAAGTTTCTGACATAGTAAGAAATTCTTCCATTAATTTTTTTTTAATTACACGATTTACAATAAATACTTCATAATCCTCTCTATATATTTATAATTTAATGTGTTTTACCTACAAGTGTAAAATAAAACTGTATAATGTTTCGGTATATTTCGCCAGTGTGTAGAGTAAAGTGTAAGTATAACCATTATTATAAACTTTTTGATGACACTGAAAGAACCAAAACTATGTACATTTTCCCGACTTTTACAATAGAATCTTAGAGATAAACTTATGCTTTTGTATACCTTTTTGCTGGCTTCGTGGCTTGCTTAAAATCTAAAATTTTTGTAGTTCAAATAAAAACCTAAAAATTAGAAAGTTTTAAGTTACAAATTTAAAAATTAATAAAACCATAAGGTTTTTTCTTATTTAGACTTTTTTTTTTTTAATAAATTGCTATACAGTCTTGTTTGAACGTGCAAAGCTACAAATACAATGTATTTAACGCAAAAATCTAATGTTATCCAACAATGTGGTTAAGATTTTTGTTTTTTATTTACCTTAAAATATAATATGAAATATTTTAAAGATTTTAATGTGTGTTTTGTGTGCTTGCCACAGGGAGTAAAGCTAAAATATTAAACTGTTATTTATTTTTAATTTTTTTAACAAAATGTAAACAATAATCTTGATAAAAAGTTTGACCAAATAGATATGCTTGCATAAAGCAATAGCACATGATGGGGCTTATAATATTGCAGCACAATTGGAAGACAAACAATAAATAAATGTTATATTATATGCACATGAATAGAATTATTTCAAAGCATTACTGCTGAGATATATTTTAAATAATTGTTTAATATTTTCGATATTTCCTTCCTTTAATCCTTATCCAACCATTAATAAACACTTGTATATTTAAAATAGTCATCTAAAATGTGTAGATGTTTTGTATAGAGAAAGTCGTAGATTCAAAAGATTTTTTCGGGAAATTGCTTATAAAAAAAGAATGAACCATATAAAAATAATGAAAGAAAAAAATGATGGATTAAAAGTGTTATAGCAGATATATGGGGCTGAATAAGAATAGCGCAGGGAAAGGCAGAAAGAACGCTGTATTTTAAATAGCTTGTAGAAAATTTCGTAATTAAAAGAAGACAAGGTAGAGAAAAGGAATGAACGACTGCATACACTTGTATGCCGATCGGATAAAACAGATAGGTGTAGATACACTGGAGGGAAGGAGAAAAACCAATAGATTAAGTATTTTTGGGAACATTCTTTGATTAACAATAAATAAAAGGAAAACTGCAGTTTGCAAGTGTAATATAAATGAACTGCAAACAAATTAAAACCTTTTAATAAAGAAAATTCATAAACGTATTAATGATAAAGTTAAAAACTATTCTTTAGGAAAGAGTAAAGGGGTAAGAGAGGAAAAAGTAAAATAAAAAAATAAAACATACTTTTCATTATTAAAACAAATTAAAATCAGCTTAAAGCTAGAAAAGATCTAATTTCAAAATAAATTCATGACGAGTAACATGTTAAAAAGAAACATGTTTGTTTAAAATTAAAAGCCTAATAAATCTTTCACACAATATAAATGGTAACTATTTAGATACACATATTCTTACATACAATATTTTTCCGGTATACCTTAATTTTTTTTTCTAAATTCTATTTAGCTTTCATGTGTATATTATTCATTTTTAAATCAGAGTTAATTTTTCTACCCTTATTCTTTTCTTTAACGATCTTGTTAATTAATTATTTACAACAATTTGTGATGATTGCCATAGATTAAAATTTTCTAAAATTGATTTTTTCTCCGCTTTAATGCTTAATCATGTCGCAAAGTTTTACAGGATCTTACAACTTGGGATTATTTGTTGTTTGCACATTCCGTTTTTTTTTTTGGTTTATTTTTACAATTAATAAATTTTTCTTTTTTTACAGACCTCTTTTTTTTATTTTATTTTACAATTTAAACCTGATGTGATTATTGTTGTTGCAGCTGTTCTTGTTGTTGTTATTCGTGGTCAATAAGTTGTGCTACATGCTGGCAACCTGTTCCTATAGTGTAAGTTTTTTCGTATTTGTTAACAATTGCACTTTTTTTAAAGTAACAGTCCCTACCTACCTGTACCTGAAAATGTATTGTTTGTTACATTGTTATTATTATTGTTATTAAAAGCTGGTGCAGTTGCGG